TTTATCATCATGCATGAACCACAATACAATCAATCATCTACTTTGTGTATGTATTATTTTGCTATCGTAATTGTAAAAAAAAAAAACAATGACGAAAACAAAAAGGATGTATGTATACGTATGCGAATTTAAAAAGCAACAAACTAACATTTTACTAATTTGACTTGGCAAACTTTAAATGAAAATAAAAATGTAAATCCTTAAATTGATTTAACAACATAAAAAAGAACAATATTTCACGACCAACTACACGCATCTAACAGTTTTTGTAAATAATTTTTTCTTTTAAAAAGTATCTGCGTGGCGTGTGCGTTTTCTTATAGCAATAAAATAAAAAATTACTTGTCACACAAACGGTTAATCATTTGAAGAATGGATCTATTTAAAGAGAGGTTTGAAAAGGAAAGGAAACAGTAAAAAAGATTATAAAATTATGTCATAATTTATAGAATGACACAAATAAATCAATCCATCAACATATTAGTATTAGTAGCATCTGCAGGGTTGATATCTATATAAAGCTTTTCCCAATTTAGTCTTCAATAATCGGAAAAAAATACTTGCATCTATTTCTATATCAAAGTAAGGTAAAGAAACGACATCTCAAACCAGTGATGTAATTGCCAATACCTAACATCGAATTTTATTTTTAATTTTTTTATAGGATCCACAGGATAGAAGAAATTTCATTGTGCAACTAGAAGCTGTTTTGCAAATTTAGAAACTATCCGTAGAAAGAATTAACGTGTAACGTGACACCCCGCACTGAAATTTCAACACTGACTGATTAATAATCAAGTCCCAAGCAGTGTTGAAAATTCAGCAGTGTAGGGAATGCGGTGTGTAACATTACACACCAATCAAAATTTTAATTTTTGGAAATTTATAAATTTGTACCAGTTACACGACGAAATTTCAACATTCCCCAAGTTTAGTGATGATCGTTCAGAATCTCTTCAAAAAACAAACATAACTGGCAATTTGAATCCAAAACATTGAAAAACTTGTTGATGTATCTGAGTACAGTATGAACGATAAGAACCTGAAGAAATTTCATTTCAAACACGAAAACATTGTTAATATGGAACTTTAAAAGTAAAAATTTTCATTGAATCGCCTTAATTGTTTTATACTGTGTGATAGATTATAAGCAAAGCCACGAATCGATAACTTGAATTTTTCACGTGAAATTTTAAGTTTATGTTTTTTATTACAAAATATATTAAAGTGCTACAAAAATGAAAAATACTGCCGAAAGGAGGAATACTTTACAATCATACTTTTATTATCTGGCATGTTGTCTAACCAAATTTGAATTTTTTGCGTCAAGGATGACAGATTTTTATAAAATCTAAAAATAAATTTGAATTAATCTATTACTATAATGCAAAAGTCATTTAGTCGCTGGGAGAAAAAGAAAATTTTCGATAACGTG